GTGTGTGTGTGTGTGTGTGTGTGTGTGTGTGTGTGTGTGTGTGTGTGTGTGTGTGTGTGTGTGTGTGTGCAGATAGTCAGCTTATCGCTTTGGTTGGTTATTAGAATTGATACCAACTGTGCTGCCCTGGGTAGAGACAAGCTGACATTGGGTCACGTCCATCCCTCGAGCAAACATGTCTGCAAATACACACACACACACACACACACACACACACACACACACACACACACACACACACACACACACACACACACACACACACACACACACACACACACACACACACACACACACACTCACTCACTCATGCCACAAAATAAATGCAGTTTTAGTTATTTCTGGCTTGAAAGGGACGTTTGACCTTGAGACCTTGAAAGCTTGATCTAACAACATCTAAATGTTTTGATGGTAAAAATAGATATTGATAAGCTCCTCCCACACATATGTCAAAAATGTGTGGGATACATTTACCTGTATGTAACCGTCCACATGCGACACATCTGCATGTGTGTTTGCAGGGGGATTGTTTGACATTGAAAACATCCTGCTATTTAACCAGGCAGAGACAATCAAGTGTTTCCTCAAGGGCATTGACTCATTAACTTGCAATCCCTCTGGGACGTGTGTGTTTATGTCTGTATGTGTTTGTATCGTGCACATTGTGTAAGCTTTGTGTGATGCTTCTATGCTCCCTCTGTTTTGTGTTTGAATTCTTGTGACAAACATCTTGCGTGAGCATCTTCTGCTTGTTTCTTTTAATCAAAAGCCCCAAGCACAAGTGTGCGTGAAATGTGTGATGTGTGATGATACAGTACTGTATGTCCTCTCACTTGTCAGCTAGTGCTATGCTGCGTTAACTCGCTGTATAAGGACACAGTGGTTGGATGCTGCGGGGAGCTGCACGGCCATAAACTTTAAACTCAGGTGTGCTATGATTCGCTTGATTAACTGCAGCTGTCAGTTAGGCGGAAGGTCCTTGTCCCTCCAGTCCTTCTGCATGACAGGCAGACGCCCTGACTCTCTGCGACCTGCCGTTGTCGCCTGTGTCCTTTGTTTTTTTTACTTTCCTCAGACAGCACAGAGACTTGCTGCTGTAGGGTCACAAAGGGCTTAGTGTGATGCCGATGCACAGTGTGGCGCTGTGAGAGGCTCTGTCTTGAGTGTGTGAGAGACACGGTCTATCCCTGTTAGGTCATGTGTAAGATTTTAAGTGGCCGAAATCCCCAAGAGGGAAATACTGTGTGTGGTTGTTGCGTATATATGTGCATTGTTGTGAGAATTACCAAACCTCATTCATGTTGTGTAGTCGTGTTTAGTGATATTCAAACAGTTGAGGAAAATCAGTAAAGATTCAAATGGGAATATAATGCAATTCTACTGCATTCTTACATAATCAGACAACATACAATCCTATGCCGTAAAATCAGAGTGATGAGATGCATGTTTGGATATGAAGTATGTAGATGCATATTCACTTTCGATATGCAAACATCTGTGTAATGTATGCAAATGTGCATGCGGTTTACTACACTTTCCAATCTTCTTATCATTAATACACTTTGTGTCAAATTATAAAATATCATTTTACCTTACATACATTCAGTTTGTATGTAGAGTGTATTTGGTTTAACTGATTGACTGCTTGTAACAGGCTTTTGCCATTGCTTATATATATATAAATACTAATTTGAGCAAAGCCAGTGTGCATAATGCTGGTGCAGCAGCTGCTTGATACAGTCATAGTCAGTTGTCATAGTTAGTTGTAGCTGGCGCATCAACCCTCACCTCTGATTTGGGATTAGTACCAGATTAGTGCTCTGCTCACATGCATGACAGCTAATAGACTTTCTCAATGGGTTCAGTGTACATATTTCCCAGGGTTTTTGTGTTGAATAATAAAACACAGCTAATGGATGGGCTGCAGGGGCACAGTGTTGTAATCGATCTAATTACAGTTGTTGTTGTTGTTGTTGTTAAGAACAATGTTTTGGAATTTTGTAGAATATAGTTTCACTTGCAAGACGTTTGTAATCTTAAAAAAGCATCCGGAAGCACAACCTGATGTGGTTTACACCGTGGTCACAAGGCCGGCTCATATTTTGGACAAAAACAACCTAGTCTTTTACTATTCTTTGAATGTGTCGGATAATTTCAGTATCTCACCATACAGTCATTTTTGATGGTGTTTTAGTGTAAATTACCCCTCTTCTTTTTCCTCTGATGTTTGTTTGATAGTAACTTAATGGACATTTTAATCATAATATTTTTACATTGTTGTACTCCTGTTGCTAAAATGTTCAAGCTTCAAGAATAAAAAATGACCTCTGAAATCATCATACCGTAAGACCAAATATTGGTCAAGGAAACACATATAACCACATCATGACTTTTAATTCGATTTGCACCTCTGCTAGACCAACCCCCTTTCTGTCGTATATTCTCTTCACAATTTGGTTATTTACCAAAAATAGAAAGAAAACACTAAAACAGGGCATTCTCAGTGGAAAGCCTTATCAAAGAGCACAAACACAGCAGTCAGACTCAGAATACAACACACACACATACACACAATGCAGCAGGATGAATGGCTTGGCCACAACACAATGGTGCCAAATTAAATCACTGATGGCAGAGTCGCCGAAAGCCCTCCCTTCCAACATCACTCACTCACACACATGCAAGGATTGACTAATAAGAACCTCTTTGTTTGCCTGCGTAATGTATTCTGAAACAGGCAATATCAGTTGGGGTTGAAGGGTGCGTATGGTCAATTTCAGTTCATTATGCAAATAAGCATTGCAACAATTGTTCTTAAGCATCCATGGTACGATTACTGAATTAATAATCAGCTCCCTGGTCCTCTTCATTTCTTTTTGTGTCCTTTTATTCAATAGCATGTTCATTTTCTTGATGCAAGTAACATCAGCTGTTTGTCAACAAAGGACTGCTTAGGTGGAAACACATATGATCAAGCTCGAATAATCAGCAATGATTATTAAAAATTGCACTTACATGTTGGACATAGAAATGCCCTTTTTTGGAATTTCCCCAGGTTGGGACAGGGTTGGCATCAGGTGTTGTTAGCAAGGGCGCTAACACAGCCATTACTTCCGCCGCTGCACCCCCTGCCCCTGCTGCCAGCAGAAACCTGTCGAAGACGAGCATGTTAGCAAACAGCCCAAACAGGTGGCAACGTCAGTGCCACTCAAGCGTGAGCGGCCTCAGCTGAGCTTGTCAAGGTTGGTACTTTCATCTGTGACCTTACAAACATACACCGCTGCCCTGAGGATCTGAAATCTACTCACTTAAGCTCACTTGGGATTGTTTTGCCCTTTCGGGGCTTTACTGTGAACTTATGACCTGAGTTCAGTGCTGTGGCAGGCAGGGTAACAATGAGTGTAAGGGTCTGCAGTAAGACAGGAAGTACAGAAATGATAATAGGGTGTATGCATTATTGACACACTGTAAACATAAAGCTATTAATCCTGAGACGTCCACCCGACTAGACTTTGCCAAACTGCGGTGGTCTGGAGCTCAGCTCAGCAAGAGGCAGTGAACCTTAGACAAGGTGCCAGTGCTTGACAGACAACGACGACTGCCAACGACACCATATGGCAGTAGTGTCAGCAAGTTAGCATATCATTTGAATTGTGGGTGGAAACTGGAGCCCACAGAAGCAATCAATACAGATATAAGGACTGCAACATACAAACTTCTAACAGTTTTGCATTTGTACCCAGGGCCTTATTGCTGCAAGAAAGCAGTAACCTAAAACTGCACCACCATCTTTTCAAAATGTCCACTTAATGCCAAGTAATATAAAAGTGATTTTAGAGAAGAGACATGACTCAGCACATCTGCAAGATAGATTACTCCTTAATTTATTCTGTTTTGATTCAAGGGTTTTAAAGAATTAGCTGGACGTGTCTAAAATGGACGAATGCAAAACATGTCATATGGAGCCTACAGTATAAATGTATATTCCTGTACCCACTCTTACAGCCAGTTAAAAGGACAAACCAAGTCAGTGACTGTTGACCAGAACCATCTGTTTTGACCGTTATGTACAGCATATTGTTAGGTGGCAGGGTTTTGATGCAAAAGATTATTGTCGTTTCCTTGGATGTGTGATGTGTTCAGGTCCTGTCAGGGGAAACACGGGAGGCCTATCCCAAATGCATCCTGCCTGAGTAGCTCTTCACTATGAAGTGTTTCTTCCGCATGAAGTCACACTTGCAGTTGCAGCTGCAGAGGGTTCTTCTCCATATTAAGAGGAAGGCATGAATAACAGGTAAGCTGTGGGACTCCTCATGGAAGGAAACAGACATCACCATGGATACTGATAGATGCATTGCTTGCTCAGCTGTTGGCTTGTTTTATGCACTGTTTCCTGCTTAAGTCCCTAAATAATAAAACCAGCTCAGAGTGCTATACCCTACATCACATTTTGACACAAGTAAAAGTCGAGTCAAATGTAAAATGAATTCAGAGACAACATGGTGCTTATATTTCCCTTTTTTTTGTATCTCATCACATTTTCTTAGATTTTTCTCTGAGCCCATTATGACAAATATAGTGCATGGAAATGCAGCAGATTTATGCATGCTTCTCCAAAAGCCCAGTATGGAACAAAAAGCTTTTATTATCCACTTCCTCTATTCACTATGGTTTGTGATGGCCTTTTAATATGTCGAACCTTCCACTCAAACACATAAACAGAGGCAGACTGGTGACCGTGTGGAAAGAATGGGACTGAGTACCCGTCTGTCTGCTCGTCTGTCTCCACAGACACTCACAGCGCCGCAGCATCCCAACATCACCAGGTGCAGTGGAGCAAAGCCTACTACAGTGTGCGTGCGAGAGAGAGGGGAGGGGGTGTTATCGCTGGGCGCAGATGAAAGGAGGAGGAGAGAGAGAGAGAAGGAGAAAGAGGGAGGGGGCTGGCAAGGTGGCGGGATTTGTGTTGAAGCTTGTGCTCTGTCAGACATGCGCAAGAGCGTCAGCAGCAGCAGCACCAACACCACCGCTGCGCTGCGTTTCCGCCTTGGCTGAGCGGCGCACACAGCCGAGAGGGGAGGGGAGGGAAGCCGAGAAGAAGAGCCACCGAGACGCAGTGGGGCACAGCACGGACTGCGAGCAAATCACATCGACGCACCGACATCCCAGCTGCCGAATTTGAACGTCAAGAAGCGACCTGTGCGCTGCGCGCCGAAGCCTTCCAGCATGGAGACTGCGTTAAAAAAAGAGCACTAAAATGTGAGATTTACAGAGGAAATCAGAAGAGAGAGAGAGATAGAGCGAGCGAGCCAGTGTGTGAGAGAGAGAGAGAGAGAGAGAGAGAGAGAGAGAGTGTGAGATAGAGAGCGAGCGAAAGTGGCTATCCCCTTTATCTTTTGCGGGTGATCTCAATTCTGTGCGCTGCAGTCTGAAAATGAAGAAGTTCAACATCAGGAAGGTGCTGGACGGCTTGAAAGAGGTTTCCTCCTCCACCCCGTCTGTCCAAGTGGGGCCACAGGAGAACCATCTGATCCAGGAGACCCTCCAGTCCGACCACTTCCAGCTCTGCAAGGTGGGCGAGCCTAATAGTTTTATTATAATGATGGTTTCATACCAGTTAGCCCGTTTGGCATGCATATTCTGAGAAATAATATTCAGTTTGTAGCCTGCTCCGCGTATCCCATCATAGGATACAGCAGGTGCAAGTGAGATCCACACAATTAATTAATCAATCAGCTTCAATTATTGCTCTTTAGTCTAAATTACAAAGAGCCTCTACTGATTGCATGTTAACTAGCATTTTGCCATTAATCCAGTTTAGAAATATAATCATTCAATCGCTATGTGCTTGTCCAAGCCATGTTACGTAGCCTGCAACGTACCAACAATGCGCATACTGTATGGCGAATGCGCTCTGACGATAGGACAATAAACCTTAGTAAGTTCCTGAATGGATTCATATATTGGTCCTGTAATGCACGCGGATGATTCTCAAGCACTATATTCTCATTATGTAAATACAGCCCATCATTCTGTGAAAATACCATCGTGTGCTGTATGTGTGCTTGGCATGAACTGTCATATGAGGGGTTGGGCCAAACTGATTCCCTCTTGCATAATCTGCTGCGTTTGGATTAGCAAAACGGTGGTTTTCTGGTTAATGTGTATGCATGTTACTGTGTGTCATCCCCTCGTTTTCTTTTATTCGCAGTGTCTCTTACCCCCACCTCTCTCCTCTCACACCCCTCTCTCCCATGGCCCCCCATACACACACTCACTTCTATACCCCCAGCCTCATTGATCCATTGGGCACTGGGCGCCTGATGTTAGTGCGGGCCTGTGTTTGAAGAATACAATTTACATACACATATGCTATATTTCCCCATGTGTTATTGATTTTCCCCACATGCACAATCGTACCTGGCCTGTGTGTGGATACATTTGTATAGGTTTTTTGTTATATTAGGGAATTGTAGGTCTCAATGGCTTCTTTATGCTGTTGTTTTTCTCATGGGAGATGACATTTAAAACACCTGTTCTGTAAACTACCATAGTCCATTGGCCTTGATAGGCTTCATCCTATTTTACATGGCAGAGTCTTTGTGTACATCCAGAACTCAGCGTCATGGAAGAATAATGTGATCTTTGACCTTGTATTTTTGAAAGACACAACCATCCAAACACCAACATAAGCTCAGTCAAGGGAGGTTTAACTTTTTACAACTGCAATCATCTCAACATTTGTGAAAAGTATAACATTAGAGTGCCCGAAGTAATAACTAGGACACATAATCTAGAGTCAAGTCAACACACTCCAGGGCTTAGGGGATATTGTGTTTGGAAAAGACTAGCTCAGAGATTGGAGGTTTGATAGACGCTGATCCACAGCTTGGCTTCTGATGGAAGTCTCTTTTAAACAACACTCCATCATCCCTCCTGCACCGTGGATGTCTGTCTGGACAGAAACCCTCTGTAATGTTTCTCTGCGGAGTAGGCAGGTGTCTCTGCTGCACGAGTGCTTCTTATGTAACATCCTTTAGCCTTCTGCCGCTAAGCAAACAAATCCAACAGCCCACCACCAGCTGACTGATGCCATAAAGCTTCAGTGAAACACACAAACATATACAAGGTGGACAAAGAAACAGAAACACCGTGTGATACGATTCACTTCAATGAAAGGCCCTGCAAAATATCAAAACCAAGCGCTCCTTATTGGCATGCTTCCTGTCTTTATTTCCAGACTTCAGATTCATCACGACTTCATCCGGGAGGCAGTGAGAGAAGGAAAACTAGATAAAAAGGGTGAAAGAGAAGAAATCTCAAAATAGGCCCATGATTATAAAAGGATCCTAAATAGCGAAGCAAAATACCAGCTATCATGAAAAACAGAGGAACAGTGCATAGAAAGAGCATTTGTTCCTATTTAATTGTATGCCTTCCCATTCTAATTTCAAGCTTTATATTTCTGCTTCATAACACTTATTACATCCATCTGGGACATTTGTTTACCAAAATCATTTGTGTGATATCCTTTGACAAAACAACACCCCTACTGTGAAATGCAAATTGATAACACTTTCTCTTTTTTCATCTTTTTGCACTTCTCTCAGACTGTCCGTCATGGCTTCCCCTACCAGCCGTCGTCCATGGCTTTCGACCCCGTGCAGAAGATACTGGCCATCGGCACCCAGAGTGGGGCGCTCAGATTGTATCCTTTCACTTATCATTGTCAATGGTATAACCTACGGTGGCCTGTGGCAGTCCCGTTTGGTTCCCTGCATCCATGGAAGGCAGCAGGTAAGTGAACTGATGTTTGATCTGTCAGATGCCGATGTATATTGGTTTGGTAAGATAATGCTTAAACCACCAAGTAGTAGCTTGAATCAGCATCCCTTGAATCCCATATTTTAGATTCTTTTACTGAAGAAATGTCTTTGAGTAATCCACATTTAAACACATAGTCAAGTATGTGCTGCAATTCATCTGAAGAAGCAATGGCTTGAGGTAGTTTGCGTCATCTTCCTTGCAATATGAGGACATTTACACAAACAGGGACAACAGCTTGTGGTGAAAAGGCACCCCGGGGAGTCGTATAGCTTCAGAGAGCGCCTGCAAGCTTGCATGTGTCAGGCTGCTTTTACAGGTCCTCCATGTGTTCTCATGCCTGTCCGACAGCCTTTGCCAGCTCATTACGGTGTGATGAAGAGCTGTCCACCTGGCTGTCCCTTGTTCCCACCTGCTGGCAGCTAGTGCTGTGACACAGTACCTGCACTGGAGATGTGAGGATAAAAACAGAGAAACTCACAGGTAGAGGAGAGTGAGAATTGAGTCCACAGAGCCACCAGTGTTCAGTCCATGCACCTCTTTTAGTATGTTTTCTGAGTGAGGGAGACTGAAGAGATAACGATGGATCACTTTTTTTGTGGAGATGATGTTCCTAAAGATTTGCTGCCCCTCTGCTTTGGATAAAGACATTCTGTTAGTGGTACACATGTATTAGAAGATTGGAGATGAAATCCCTCCTCTGGTAGAAGTATTATCTTAGGGCTGATAGAGGAATTGGTGAAAAAGCTTAATGGGGCTTATGTCTTGCTGGCTGGTACATTACTCCTCTGAGCTCCAGCCTGGGTAAACTCTGTATAAGAAGGAAGCTTTACTTGTGATGTAGAAGAAGCCTCTGACCAATCAGCTTGGACATCATGAACACTATCCGGAGTTTGGCTGAAATTATCTTGTCAGATTGTTCCTTCTGGCTGAAACGGGTCACTTTGAAATTGAATAAACAGATGAATCTCTTGTGTTTGAGTGATGTGGATCAGATAGTCTTATCAGAGTCACATGAAGGTGAATTGGGAGTCATCCATCTATTCTTCTGTTCTCTTTCTTCCTCTCGTTTGCTGTTTAGTCAGCCCTGCCTCTTTATCTGATGACGATGATACCAGCATGGCATACTGTAGATGAAGGGGGCGTAGTTGAGATTTCACAATACCTTTTTCTTACATTGCTATGCTGCTGCATGTGGGTTTTTCTGATGTATTTTAGTATAACAGGCTGCTGTTTTGTGAGAGACATCCTTGGACTCCTGCGCTGATACACATCTATGTCCTGGAGGTCATTATTTTTGGCAACTCGCGGCTATCAGTGTCCGTGCGTTTGTGTGTATGTGTGTTTGAGTGCCTGGCTGGCCTACCAGGACATTTGGCTGCACCCCTCTCCAATGGAGGATTACAGGAAGTGGCAGATCAAGGGCCTCAGCCTGGCAGCGTGGCAAAGGACTGAGAATTACTGCAGGAACAGGAGGTGTGTGTGTGGATGCGTGCCTGCATGGAAGTGAATGTGTGTGTACATGTCTGAATCCTCCGAGGGGACGGCTGATCCCTCTTGCCATAAAGCCAATCACTTCTGTGATCCCCCAAAACTGTGCGGTGTTTGATGCTGGCCGCTGACGCTGCTGCTGCTTCCACTGTCCAGCTGGGAGGATGACAATGTCCCCTTTGGTATTTTCTGTCGGAGGGGAAGAGGGTAGTAGAGGAAGATGTTGGTGGAGAAACAGGATAGAGGAGGTGGAATAGATTGGAAAGAGTGAGAGAAGCAGGCTATCCCCCTGTTTCAAGATCTAATGCCCGAGAATAGAATCCTTATTGATCTGTGTGTGGTAATGCACTGAGACAGATATGCCCAAGTGCACACAGTGCTGTCAATTGTTTTCTGTACAATTTCTTAGCAGAGAAAATAAGTTGTGAGCATTTGGAAAACAGGTTTCGCTGTGCAAGCAGTGCAGGGATATTAGCCATTCATCGGATTAGCAGTGTCGTTTAAAAAATAAGCAGAATTGCTGTGTTTGAAAATGCTGAATTATAAAAGCCTCTTTTGGTTTAGAGTGTTTAGACAAGGTGTTTTTGAGCAGCAGAACTGCAAAAAAGGGAACCTTCTTTACTTCATTTATTTCTTGACCACACTGAACTACATTTGTTGCACTGATGCCACATATCACTGTATCTAATATGGCTCAAACCCAACACATATGGCCAGTACTTAAATGGCATTTCTGTTAAACAACACCAGTACAGGGTTGTTGACACACAGCATTGACATCATAAATCCAGTGACAGCTCACAAAAAAGGTGGGGCTAATTGAACATAATGACCCACATCCGATTATCAACAAAGTGAGGATATAATGAACTCTCATCAGAGCTATAGATAATGTTGTTAATATTGATCAGCCTCTGGACAGATTAGGCAGTATGTTTGGGTTAATGTCATCTTTCTGAGGAGAAATGATTGTATAATTGTAAAATTAAAGAAAAGACTCTGCCACAATAAAATAAAAATAAAATAGGGGGAATTATAAACAGAGTTATTAACCTGTTAGGCTGGGTTTAACTTATCTTATGGCAATGTTTTTTGAATTTTCCAATAATACCCAGATATTTCCAATTTAGCTTTTTCAGTCTCTGGACAGAATAAATCAAAGACATAAACAAGACCTTTTTTTCAATAGAAAAAACTCACCACCCTCGATAATTGAAAGTTATACTCTGCTGATCCAGTTTGTTTGTTAAAGGCAAGCCTAATGTGGGTGGAAATCGCAAACTTTTCCAGAGCACTGTGAAATGAGAGATTCTGTCACTCTGACAGAAAACAAGGGGCAGGGGCCTTATTGGATGCTTTTTCAGCTTACCGCCATCAACCGAGAGACATTTGTATCTGTACAGATTTGTGTTTGTGTGTGTGTGTTGCTGGGTGGTCTGCAGCTGTGTGTGTAACAATGTGGCGGCTCATCTCTGCGGAGAGGCGGCTCTTTACTGGTGGTGGCCAGGAGAGATGGCAGCACTATAACTCAGAGACTCCCTGTGAGCCGGCAATTGATCAAATTGTCACTCCATGCTCTGGCAGATTATCTCATCGGCAGGCGCAGGACATCATAGGACTCACAAATACAAATGGGGGCACAAACACACACAGTCACACACTTATCAGACATTTGGAGGTGGCAGAGGTAACACACATTTCTGCTACACAGCATGTGATGTGAGATGATTTATACCAATGTTAGTGGATGTGCAAAAGCAAATACTGACGTACACAGGGGGCAAACGTTTGCACATGCAGGCGGACAGTGATTCACATATGTTTGCAGAGAAAACGTTGTTCCTACGCATTCACACACACACACACACACACACACACACACACACACACACACACACACACACACACACACACACACACACAGGCTTTGCAGTAACTGCTGAGACGGGCAGTGGCTCTGTGCAGCATTTGGTTGTAGCACAGATTGACTATGACATATCTCCATCATTAATCTTCCCTCTGATTCACTCAAAGTCTGCTGCCCTCCCATCTTTGTCTCTAGTCAGAGGAGAAGCTCACTGAGAATCAGTTCTCTGACTGGTCTTCTGAATGGGAATCATTTTAAAGTGTTGAAATAGAAATTGTAGCTCAGCACTAGATGTTAGAAATTCATCGGTACAGTATGTACAAATGAAAGTGCGAGATTGTATCTTGCAATCTCTGCACAGAGCTTCACAGTGTGTGTGCATGCATTTTTCCCTTTGTTAACAAACTTAGATGGGAATTTCAATGTATGTTAGAAATCCCTTAAGGATTACAATGTGATATAAGCTCTTGTTTCACACGGTAGTTCACATATGCCTCTTACAGAACACTGACTGCATTTCATGTATATATCTGTGTGATTGTGGTAATGTTTTTCGATTGTAATCAGCGATTACAAAGAGGCTTTTTATCTGCATGTATTCAGCATCTACAGAGACAGAGGGATAGCAAATGGTAAAAAAGCGTTTGCTCCCTTTCCAGATTATTGCTTAAAGTGTGTGGGAGCTTCTTTTCAGGTCACAGATCATTTGTGTATTCATTTATTCTTCTATCTGTTTTGTTGCATCTTTATTTTCCTTCTCATTTTTGCTCTGTCCTCATTGGGGTTGACAGTTTCGAGCTAACTCTTCTAGATGGCTCTCCATAGTGCAGACTAGGCCTGAGGTTGTGTGTTTGTGTCTGTGTTCTGTTATGCAATGTGCTGGAGCTTGACGCGGCAAAGATGAGGCTGACTGAAACGGCAACAGTCTCATCAGAGGAGTTTAACTGCTTCTTCAGCCACTGTGTTACATATCGCATGTTGTATGTGTTACACGTGTGATCAATACGCTTACCATTTACAAGTAGCAATGTTGCATCTCTGCCCGTGGTGATTTTAAGGAACTCATTACTGTCTTCCCTGAGTCAGTGGTTGGCAGTTTAGCTACAGTAGCAGCAGCATATGGAAGATGAAGAGAGGTCTCGAACAAAATCGACTCGGATTAGAATCTTATCCTAGTTGACCTCATTTTAGTTTTCACACAGTTAGGAAAGAAAAAGACGAGATAATGGAAATGAAAGTCATCTAATGGCGTCTGATGAAAAAGTTTAATTGCGCGTGCGTTCGAAGAGCTTCCGGTGGGGTTGGAAGAGTCGACTTGTGTCTGCCAGATGGCATTTAAAAAAATTGTTAAAAGTAGAGTCCCTGGTGAGGTCACCAGGGAGCTGCGAGATGTGGCTTTCATGTCAGTTCAGTGCACATCAACTTTACACCATAACTGGAACACAGTATGTGCGTGCGGGCCTGTTCCCTGTATTGAAGTACTCTTAATCAAAGACCCCTTGTGTACCGTGTTTCATCTTTCATGC